GCATTTTTCTCCCTTTGATTATGAGCAATTGTGGACTCCCCAGCAATTCATCAAAGTAGAAATTATTTTAAAATACCTCGTGGTGTTCAGACTGGGCTGGAGCCGTGCATGGGGGGTGGTAGCGGGAGAGAAGGCTAGAAATGTTTCCATTCATGCTCTACACAGCTCAGCCCTGCAGCCCTTGTGGAGTATCCAGCCAGGGGATGAAATCTGGAAAAGACAGGCAGATCCAAGGACCCGTAGGTGTTTCGATGAAGCTCCCGGGCTCCCACAGCAGGAGACATATGGGCTCTGCGGCTGCGGCATCCTCCTCACACTTCCGCCTGCTGTTTTGTTTTGAAGGGCAGAAAGTTGATTCCACTCCTCTCAGTTCTGAGCACTGCGGTGAGAGGCTATTACTCCATCTGCACTCGGCAAGGACAGGGCTCCATATTCAGGCAAGAGCGAGCTGCCCCCAACTGCCCAGGAGCCCAGCCTGGGCAGGCGCCCTGCTGAGCTTCAGCTGCGTCCTGTTGGCACCCTCTGTGACTCGGCAGAGAGCGCTTCCCCAGGTTTGGGTCCCTACGCTTGGCCTTAAGGCTCAAGGGGCACGCGGCAGAATGGGAGGCAGAGTGGGCACCTTGAGAATGCCCTGTCTGGATGTCCCTGGCAGTGGAGATAGCAGCACCTGGCAGTTAGAAGACCACACTTCGCACATGTTCCAGCAAGTTGACTTTTGAACAAAAGCTGTCAGATAACATGGTACCCACCCTCCACCTGTAGGGTCGCAGGAAAGCTGAAGCTAGATCTTTAGGAGTTACAGTGGGAAAGGCAGGCAATGTGTGCGTGCTCCCTCCATCGAAAGACCCTGCAGACGTAGCCATACCAGCCTTGTGGTGCCCACAGGGCAACACTAAGAAAATGTATGGCAGAGACGACCCTAACATCCGGACGTCAGTGTTGGAAAAGCAACAGCAGTGTAACTTGCATCAAAGGAGCTTAAAAACTTCCTGACCAGCTTAAGCTAAGGAATTCTGGGTAACTCTCTATAAGATGTAGGAGCCTGGGTGGTGTAGTGGTAGCGAATGGGGCTGCTAACTGCAAGGTCAGCAGTTCGAAAACACCAACCAACCACTCCCCAGGGAACACAGGGCTTTCTACTCCTGTAAAGAGCGACAGTCTCGGAGACCCACAGGGGCAGCCCTACTCTGTCCTGGAGGGTCGCTGTGAGTTTTTTCCACTTGGGGCAGTGCAGACTGAGCAGGGAGAGGGGTGCGGTGCTGGGAGGGGAGAGGACGCAGCAAGGGGGCAAGCAGGAAGAGTCCAGAGAAGGGACGCCGTGGAGGACACATTTCTTTCCGGCTGATTTTTAAAGGACACCTCCTAGCTCCCTGAAGGATCAGCTGGGCAGTGTGGCTTCTTGTGGCATTTGAGGCGCATGTCCTGGTGTTTAGGGAGCCCTTGGGAAAACTGTCTCCAGAGGGAGTTGCTCTCTTCCGGCCACAACCAGTTCAATCACCAAGGGAATACCTTGGGATTCCTGGAAGCTTAATGTGCTCAACTGAGAGGACTAATCCCCTGGGAACCCTTCCTTTCCTCCTTATTTATTTTTTTAACAGCTTAATTGGCACTTAATCCACCTATCACACAATTCAGTCATACCAAGAAGAATTGGACAATCCCGCAATCAGTTTTAGGACACCCTTCATTTCTTCATAAACTCAGGGAAGGTGTTTATCGGGCCCCGTTCTGTGCGGAGTGCCGTGCCCGGTGCTGAGAGGACGACAGGGAACCAAACCAGCCAGTGTCAGCCCTCCCAGAGCGCTCCGTCTAGTGATTTACTCAGAGCTGCTGAAGACAGCCAGGTACCAAATGATCTCCTTGTCAGACTTCACAGCCGGGGCTTCTCACCCAGGCAGGGAGCCTGGCAGGGACTGACTCCCCATCGTGATGCTGGGGAGCCTGGAATGGACACCCGAAGGCTGTTTAGGAGTAAGCCCCACAGCTGAGAGGGGGCAGCGGAAGGGTCCAAAGCAAGAGAGCCTGAGCCTGTGCGCCAGGGGAGGAGGAGCTGAGAGCCAGCTCTGTGGGTGGGGGTCAGAGACAGTTCTTGGCAGTGGCTGGGGCCAGGGCACACATGGCCTGTAGACGACGTGGGCGGGAGGAATGTCAGACAGCAGCGACATTCTCAGCGGGCAGTCTGCAAAGATACTGGCTGCAGAACGGGGCCTAGAGCAGAGGGGCACAAAACAGACCTGCTGGGAGGGTGCTCCCTCAGAGGACCGTGTCCTTGGGCGATGACGGTGATGTAACCTTGAGCTCTTGGCCATGGGAACGGTGGATAGTTCTAAGAATATTTGGGGGGCGGGGGGAGATATGGGTAATGGCAGCTTACAATAATGAAAATCAGAATGAAAAAAACGCCCTAGACTTGCTTGCACAACTCTTGTAAATGTATGGAACTCATTGAATTGTAAGGGACGTGAATGCTATGATACGTCAATGAAACTTCAGAAATATACCTGGGGGGAGAGAATCAACAGGATTCAGCAATTGACTGGGAGAGGAAGGACGAGCGCTCCAACAGGCGGGGGTCTGAGCTGGACGCAGGACAAGGGGTTAAATGCAGGACATGCTGAGTGGCACGGTCAAGGGTGGGGCCATCAGAAATGGACCCCAAACTCTTGGCTGGGGCCCAACAGTAAACGAAAGCTCTGGGTTGGATCTCTGGGGAGTTACTGACACAAAGGCGGTGGATAACCACAGAGCACGTCGGACGGCTCCCGGAAAAGGGCAGCCACAGGGGAGACGAGGTCCGAACAGAACCCGGGAAAACCAGCGCAGTGAAAGGAGGGATGGCAGCCGACCAGCTGCAAAGAAGAGTAAGGAAAAGCCACCTAAGAGGTAGGAGGGAACCAGTGCCATCATCCTAGAAGTTGAAAGCAGCAAACGCCTCAACAGTCGGTGGTACCCCTCAGGCTGAGAGCTCCAGAGAGCTAAAGCCTGAGAAGCTGAAGCCACGTTGAAAGGAAGTGATAGGAGCCCTCGGGAAGCCCTGGTGGCACAGTGGTGATGCGTTGGGCTGCTAAACCCCAAGGTCAGCAGTTCAAAACCACCAGCCTCTCCTTGATGTGGCTTTCTACTCCCATAAAGGGTCCCTGTCAAGAAAAAAAAAGGGGTCCCTGTCTCAAGAACCTACAGAGGCCGGTCAACCTGACCTGTAGGGTCACGGAGTTTGGGTTTTGGAGGAGGGCGCGGTGGAAGAATGAAGGTGTCATGATGGAAGCAGAAGCCACAGAGCGATCGGAAGCGTGACTAGAAAGACGCGTTGGGGCGACCAGTGTAGCAAGCTCTTCCAAGAACTTTGACTTGGACTTGGAAGTTGGCATAGACTAGAATGGGAAGGAGCCATGAAATGGATTTTCCTCCGAGTTCCAAAGTCTCTCTTGAAAGATGGCTGTGTTCTCGGTGAAGGTGTACACACAAACCCCACAATTCCTACCAAACTTGTTCCGTGATGCTGGTGGCTCTCTTCACGGGGCAGGCGCGCTCTCATTAGTTCCCTGCTGGCAGTTCTCCTTTAAAAAGGGGATCGTTTCCTTGTTGTTTTCAAAGCTGAAGGAGCGTGAACACACCTCAGTCTAACCGGAGGAGGATTTCCACAGGAGGCAGAGGGCAGGAGAGATGAGGAGCAGCTGAAGTCCTTGTTGTGAGGGTGGTCTTCAGGCCGGGAAGGGAGACTCTCCCCACCCCCGGCCCCGTTAGTAGGAAAGAAGGGTGTGGGTGTCTGTACAAGGTTCCTGCTTTGACTGGAAGCTGATCAATCCAATCCCATTTTGACTGGAAGCTGATCAATCCAATCGCATGGCTTCTCTGCCTCCTGCTGAGAGGAGAGGAGGCCCACATGGAAGAGGGGAGATAACAATGTATAAAAAGATAGGCATATCCCTCCCTCGTGCTGGTGTCCCGGGTTTTTGTGTCACCAGTTCTGTGTGCTTTGGGCTCAGCAGCCAGGTGGGTGAAAGACAGAGAGGGTCGCTCCCATGTGGCCCCAAGTCTAGTGGAACCAGACCCTGTGTTCGTTCCCATTCTTAAAGGTTGATCCCAAACCTTCCTTCCGTTAAAAGAAAGAAAACGTGTTTGTTTGTTTTTTCTGGTGCTATGCTTCTGAGAAATTCTTCTGTAACCCAAGGTCCCCATACCCAACCCTGTAGGGTCACCCCTTCTTTCAAACCCTGCCAGCCCCTTTCTCGTTCGCTCCTCTCTGGGTCTCGATGTTGACATGCCTCTCTACTGCCCATCCCTTTGAAGGGAGGCCGTCCTCAATGTTAGGCCCTTTCACGGCTTTCTCTTCTGTGCTGTCACTTAGGGCCCCACACCGTCCACGGGCAGGGACGACAGTTTCCCTACCCTTACTGATGAGGACGTGAAAGCTCAGAGAACTTAAGGCCACGCAGCTCCTAAATGAGCGACCAGGGATCAGCCCCCAGCCTGTCTGACTCCCGAGCCATTACTCTGTGCTGTCAGTTCCCAGGGAGCCAGTGGGCAGCATTCTGATCCACCATAACAGATCTCCTGGGGGCTCCAACAGCACTTTTCATAGAGGAGCTACTTGGTAAATAGTATCGATTTGAACTATGACCTGACCACCTCTCTCCCCCAGCTACCTCTAGTGTGTTGGCATTTTCGGGTGTGCCCAGCTTCTCTCGGAAGAGGCCAGGCCGCGCTGCTTGGTAAAACAGATGTTCTTTAAGTTCAGCAGCCGCATCAAAACGTATTCTCTGCGTGAGCCACGCTTGCCGTCCAGACAGGGAGATGGCAAAACGAAAGCAGTTTGCTTTCCTCGCTAGATGCTTTTTCAGATTTAATCACGTCCCCGTGTTAGCAAGTCAAACCCGGAATGCCAACAGAGGAACTTCAACAGAGCTCCCGGGTGGGCAGGCGGGCGGGCAGTCGCTGTCAGAGATGAACAGAAGGCTGACCGAATGCCAAAGGCACCAATTCCTCTTTCCGTTTTTCAGGACTATAACGTGTACGGCTGGTGGATAGGAGAACTGAACAACCTTGTTGGGATTGTTCCAAAGGAGTATCTCACCACTGCCTTTGAACTGGAAGAAAGCTGAAGCCCAGGTATCAGAACCATTGTCTGTCTGTGAACTGCCGCCCGGTCGTTCGTGGAAGCTCTCAGGCGGGTGTGCCTCTGCTTCTCCGTGAAACAGGAGAGGTGCCCCGGAACTCACTTTTCTTCACTTCCCCAAGTGAGGTTAAGGTTGATGGTTCAGCGTTGGAAAGAGAGGAGCCTGAAACTGGTTTTCCTAATTTGAGAGAATGTGTTGGTTAGGATTAGGTTCAACTACAAATCACGACGGAATTCACAGAGAAATGCATGTTTCTCTTCGTAAAAGCCCCGAGGTGAGTGGTCCAAGATGTTCAGGAACCGTCTGTCTTGTTCCACAGTGTGTAGCCAGCATCCCCAGGGTTACCACGTGACCCAAGAGGGATGCTTCGGTTGTAGCTGTCTTATCTACAAAGAGATATAAGAAAGGCAATGGACACCCCCTCCCCCCTCCCTTTCTGGACACTTCACTTGTACTTCCGGCCCGCAGACCAGAGCTCAGACATGCGAGTGCAGCAAGCAACCAAGGGCGCTGGAGTTTAGCCAGCGGGTGTCCAACTTTAAAAAGAGAGTGAGGGTCAGGATTACAGACAGCGTGGGAAACGGATGTTCGGGGGTGACTCGGCAACATGGTTAGAGGCCGCCCGAGCTGCCTCATCCCAGCTCACAGCCTCAGAGCACCTTTCCCCACGGGTTGCAATGTGACTGGCCAAGATGTAGGAGGCCGTGAAGCACATCAAATTAACTTCGGGGCAATACAGAGCATTTATCGGCCTTCATGAGCAAGCACCATGGTGCTGGGCCTTAAACCAGCAAGGGAGCCAGTGCTGGGTGTGGGCGGGGTCACCGTGGGAGCTACTTTGGTGAGCAGAGGGAGTGTTGTTTAGAATTAGGATGGTGATGGCTACCTGAGGATGGGATCCCTACATGGGTATCTCTGGAAGGAGAGAGAAGGAAATGCTCAGGCCGCTGCCTCCCAGGAGAGAAACACTGCATGGCTGTGAGGCAGCTGAGGAGGGAGATTCCGCACTCCGCCCTTTTTGACCTTCTCCCTTCTGAGCCTGGAGCCCTGGTGGCGTCATGGCTTATGTGTTGGCCTGCTAACCCCAAGGTCAGCAGTTCAAAACCACTAACCTCGAGAGAAAAGGGAGACTTTCTACTCCTGTAAAGAGTTACAGTCTTAGAAACCCACAGGGGCAGTTCTACCCTGTCCTATAGGGTCACTATGCGTCGGAATCAACTTGATCTTAGTGAGTTGTGTGTTGTTGTTATTTTTAATACTTTGAGCAATAAAAGAACATTTCTTTCTTTTTCTCCGTTAGGAATATAGTCTTCTCTCTAGTCTGCTTTTATGAAGAAGTTGATCATCAAGAAGCTCTATGCTCCCCGCCCCCCCAAAAAAGCTCTAAGCCACCCCCACCCCTGCTGCCATCACCAATACTGTGGTTTCTTCCCGCTGCCAAACACCCACTAGCCTCTGCCCCTTATAGCGGTGGTAAGGCAGCAGTTCACAACTGGAGGAAGAACATTCCCCAAACCGGCCCTGTCCCAGCTCAGCCTCGTTGCTCAACGGGTAACAGGGGTGCCCCTGCTTTGTCCTCTGGGGTGCTCCTGCCTTGTCCTCTGGGGTGCCCCTGAGGAGAGAGAGGACGGGAACCTTTGGAGACGGACGTTGCTCTTTATTTCGACTGATTTGAAAAGCAGAAATAAACTTCAGATTGGGTTCATGGCCATGTCTGAGGGTGTTGTTTCCTTCCGTCGTGGTACCAACGTGCCAGCTGTGGCCATTCTTCCACCTCCCAACTCTCCAGGGAGAGGCTGGCTGCAAAGAAGAGGACTGGCGGTTGTCTTTCAGGAGCAGAAAGCCCAGACCTATCTGGTGGCTGGTCAACCTCTCGGCCTTCCTTTGGTTGACTAATTCCTTGGGGATTTTTTTCTTATGCACCGAGTTACTCTGAAACAAGACAGGGCCAGAAGCTAGACCTCGTTGTGTTTCTCCTGGGTTCATTCCTTTTGAGGCCTCTTAACAACCTCTCTGTGTCCTGGTGATCTGCTCCGGTAAAGAGCACAGCCTAGAAAATTCTAAGTGGTGGCTTTACTCAGTCACAGTTGGGGAGAGGGGTTGTGAGTGAAAATAGAGTCTTGGCTCCTAACAAGGCCTGGGCCACGGTTTCATCCCCGGAGGAGCCAGTGCTGCAGCGCTTCCCTGGTTTCTCTTTCCTCTCGCCTGTCCCTAACACCTGTGTTATTGGCGTGTTGAAGAGACACCATCACATGGTGGTAGTTAATAACATAAACTATGGAACCAGACAGCCTGGGAATAAAGCCAGGCTCTCTGCTTACTAGCGATGTCCCCTGGAGCAACTTACTTGGCCTTTTATGCCTCAAACTTAAAAGAGTTATATGCTAGTTCCCTGGGTCAATATGAGGATTCAGAGTTACTAGCACCTAGTAACTGCTCCATAAAGGTTACTCTCACTGCCTGACTCTCCACGCGAGACATTTTCAAAGATGACTGAGTGGCTATAGGAATGGTAGGAGCTCTGGTGGAGCATCGGGCTGCGATCTGCAAGGTCAGCGGGTTCAAATCCACCACCACCGTACACAGTTAC